CAAATCATCACAAAAAGATGAAAATGTAAAACATCCGACGAATCACCCTGATGTATCAAAAGAGCTAACAAATAATGTATGCAAATTGGATGAAAAGATAACTAAACTTGAACAACAAGTCATTCAAAACACAAATATAGCTCAAAAATGCACAACCTGTTTGGAAACCTTTTCAAAGGAAATTAACGACCTAAAAACTGCACAAGAAACTAAGGCTGTCCCTACTCATTTCGACCAACAACAGGTGTCACAACCCCCATTGCAACCACCCATTGATATGTTACCACCTCCTTTGGCCCCACCCCCACTTACTACCACAACACAAACACTTCCTTCTTCAAATGCGGGGAGGGGCGATTTACTCTCGCAGATTCAAAGAGGGAAGAAACTCAAAAAGGTGTCGACTACAGAAAAGGCCGTTGCACCAAATCATCCCCAAAATAGAGGCGCAATGATAGGACAACGACCACAACAAAAAAGTACACAGACTTGTCAACCACCTGTGGGCAACCCACTTCTAGCAGAGATGGCAAACAAAAGGCTCAAACCGACGCGGGGGGGATTTAAGTGAGTTTGTGTCAGTTTCACATTGAAGGAAAAAATTACCATTGTGATAATAAAAAACTACATAAAAGCAAAGTTAAAAGCCCGCCATGTAAGAAGCGGGTGGGTATCCCATTGGATAGACAGGTGGAGGGCAAGGAGGATATCCCATTGGTTGTGGGTACATAGGGGGGTAGCAAGGGACTCCCATTGGCGGGTACATTGTTGGAACAATGTTGTCGGAGTACATTGGATTACCTAATTGATCATAGCCAATTATTTGCACATATCCATTCACACTCATTACTGAATGATTTTTTTTCGTATTGTTTAAATAGTTGGGTAGTATTTTTGGACGACTAAATCTGTCTTGATGATTTCCAATAAAAATGAATTTACTTTTAATGGGTATTTTGGTGTTTTTTGTAATTGTTTCACGACTAATTTTGTTAATTCAATGAATTGGATAATTGAGAGACACCCTTGATTTATGGGGACATTTAAGGCAAAGTCTTTGAAGTCATAAAAGTTTGAAAAATGAAATTAATATCGTTTTTTGAGAGACATTTTATTTATCCCTTTACAAATACAAAGTAATAAAATATAATAAAATATATATTATGTATTATATTATTATTAATTGAAGTATTACATAAAGTTTTTGAAACACTTTATATTCACTCATTTCCCAAAAATGTATTATTGTTCTCATCACTAAAAAAACTAAAAACTAATACTATTATGTATTAATTGTAATTTATTATCTTTTAATTGTATATCAATCAATTAAAATAATAGTTAGTAACTACTAAATATTTAACATTATTTTTAAGTTGTCATTTTTAATACGTCAAAGATTTTCGAAAATCAAAAATATTAAAAAATAATATTAAAAAATATAATACAGAATATTATATTAATAAATATTATTAAATAGTAATAAAAATGGAATAATATTTTATATTTTTTGTGTTTAATTATAGACATCAAAACTCAAACTTTTCTATATATAAATAGATGTTATAATTATACATAATCAATAATGTCATTAAAAGTATTAATCTTGGGTAATGGTACTTCTCAAATAGCACCATCGTTTATAGTTGATATTAACTCATACCGATACCTCTTTAATGTGCCAGAGAGTACACAAAGACTATTTTTAGAAAAGGAATTGAAGATGTCGAAGTTAAGTGGAGTCTATGTCACTTCATCTGACTGGTCATGTTGTTCTGGTGTTATCCCTGCATATTCAAACCTTTTTAAAACCAACTTTAGAAAAGTCCCTTTCCATATGCCACAAGGAGCTTATAAACTGATCAAAGCAGTCGACTTTATGCCATGTTCAGATGACGATGTTAAAAAACGATGGACTTTCAATGAGAAAGTTACAGTCCACTCGAAAACTACCTTCACCCCTTTAATTATTCCAATCGAAAACAAAGAGACTCTATGTTATACAATCAGTCTTCCTCCAGTACCTGGTAAATTTAATACGGACAAAGCAGATAGTCTTAAAGTACCAAAAGCTAAAAGAGGTATTCTTGTGAAGCAAGGGTTCTTGAAGTTGGAAGATGGAAGTGTTATTCAGAAAACACAAGTCTGTTCGCCTGAAATTACTCTTGGAGATATACTTGTTCTTCACTTCACTTCAGAAAAGCAATGTATATATTTCATCGAAACGTATGCAAAGAAGATCATAAAGTCACTGGTATGTGTTATATTAATAATTAACACATCATTACTCACATTTGTACCCTTGGTTAACTTCCTTAAACAATTTCAATGCAAAAAGATATTTTTAAAAGACTGGACATCACCTCCACTGAAGTTTTCAAGTGAGTCCTTTGTAAGAACAAATATGTTCCACTCCGCTTACAACAAATTACTGCCCGGATATGCTCCAGAAATCACATATAGTAGTACAGAAGAGGGGTTCACTGCAATTAACAGCGTTATCACATTGTTTCCAGTCGAACAAGAGATTACAAATACAACGGACTTCATGGTCAAAATACCCGAAAGAGCACCATTGCCCTTAACAAAAGCAGAACAATTTGAGGTGAAGATATTGGGCACTGGTGGCGCATTTCCTGGTGTCTTCAGAGATGTTTCATGCAACGTTCTTAAAATTGGAAATACAACTATAGTGGTGGATATGGGAGAAGGCGGTGCATTTCATCTTCTTCAAAATAACGTCTCTATTGACTCTATTGACATGTTTTACTTTACACATATCCACATGGACCATATATATGGCCTTCTCACTGCACTAACATTCCGAAAGAAGCGAGCACTCGTTATAGGTCCTTTGGGTTTCGAGAGAAGAGTCAGAAACTTTCTGAAAGAATCGAAATTAAACTTGGAAGTGATGTATGTCGACCACAAACTATTTTCAGAAGATCTATTGTGTCAAAAAGCAAAAGCCATTATCAATACGTTGAACATTAACATACAAACTAAGCTTCTCAAACACAAATTGGAGCCTAATTATGGAGTGAGGTTCTCTAATACAGAAGTATCTGTTGTGTTCTCTGGAGACACCGTCCCATGTGAGAATGATGCTCAATTGTGTCAAGACGCAGATTATGTGATTCATGAATGCAATTATGAAGATGACAATGAACAGATGGCTATAGACAGAGGGCACTCATGTAAGAATTTGATCGAAAAGTGTTTAACTCGGTGCAACAACAAAGTCATAGTTTTGAATCACATCTCACAACGATCGTCAAGTTGTCTAGTACTGAAAAGTGACATTCTCCCAATAGTCCTTTCTTTTGATGGAATGACTTTCAATGAGAATATCAAGAAAGAGTGGCAAAGTGTGAACACAATAACATCTTTATATGACACTGACATCACAACAGAACCTGAGGTTGTAAGTGATTGATTGTCTATTAAGTACTTTAATGTGTTATTTAATACACATATATACATACACAGATAATAATAACTGTATTATATAATACCGCATGAATTAAATCAATGAAGTCCAAGACTTTAAATACTTCATTTCTTGATGAAGCCGCTGCATAAAGTCTGATGTTTTGAGAGATTCTTCATTCTTTGCTTCTTTAAGAAACACTTCTTTGTCGCGAGCAAAAAGTCTCTCCTCCAGTTTATTAAGGCAGTTCTCAGTAATGGAGTTGTAACAAATGAACGACACTAACGTATTGACATTTTGCGCCTCTTCGGAAATGACATCAAACCCCCAATCGAGTAGTTGATAGAACATCTCTGTCTTCCTGAGTTTTTGAAGCAAACGCATCAAATCGCTAAAACGTGTGATGTCAGGCTCATTCGCCTTCAAGGGCACAGTGTTTCCAAAAATGAATCCGAAGTCAATATGAAAGAGTTTTCCAGTGGTGTATTGAAGCAAATAATTGTCTGCGTGTCGGTCTCGAAGCATCAAAAAATAGTTCAACAGACAACACATAGCAAAACTCTTCACAAAGTTGTTTTGCCGCTCAACAGAGTTAGTGGTGATTGTTTCCTCAATTGCACGTAACTCGTCTTCATTATAATATTTCTCGCCATCTTCCGTTTTGTCTTCATCTTTATGGTTTGATCGAATATAAATGAGTTTGGCAAGATCTCGATTGCCATCTTCTTTGGGCGATATGATTTGTTCCAGTGCGTTCTTCTCCCAAACTTCTGAAAGTTCTAAGACATTAGGTACAAACTCGACTACCCCCTTTTTGTCGCCCATCTCGACGATATGATACGTCTGATATGCCATATCTTCTCCTTTGCTCTTCATGACTCGATTTAAATAATTTGAAATGACCAAGACGACTGAATCGTTCAACAAATCATCTTGAGACTTCACCATGAAAAAGACTTCTTTTGGGACGGTTTCTTCGACTTTCTGCGGTGGACTTTGATTGGATTTTTGTTGTTCAAGTAATAAAGGCTTCACTTGATTGTCAAGTTCCGCTACAACGAGCATCGGCCTTGTCGCGGAGTTGTATATTCGCTGCTTTTTCATCTCCGCGACACGCTCCGACAAGAACGGAAACGAGAAGTTTTTGATCTTCTTCATTTGTTCAATGAAGGGATCGACTTGTGGCGAAAAGAATCCCAACATATTTCCAGTCACATACTGAAAGAACCCCGACGGATTCTCGTTGTTTCTTTTCTCCTCAATTCTCGAGATCAGCATAATAACGTTCTGGATGTCTGATATCTCCTTTTTGACACTCATCGCATTTGCAAGTGGTGTCCCAGCAAGTGTGTTAAACACATTCACATACACATCAAAGTACTCGTCACACTTTTGTAATCCACTCGCTGACTCCCAAAGAAGTGCTTCATACAACTGTTGGGCTTCAGAAGTCTCCCTGTTCTTTTTAAACAACTCGTTGATAATAAAATCGAGGACGGGACATGTGCTGTTGGTATACTCTTCGTGTTTAAGTATTTCAATCAGAAAAGGCGGGAACTGGGAAAGTTCTTCGATGTTTAATGAAAAAAGAATTTTGTACCCAATTTTTTCTCTCAGTCGTTTGCAGTTGGTTTGTGTTGCAAAGTAAGGAACTGCGTCGACAAATTTCCAGTCGGTAAAACTCTCGACCAACTTCTTTTCCTCGACAAATTGAATCATCTGTGACGTGTAATTCTCATTTGTTCGCAAATCGTTCTCTAAAATTGCTTTGAACACCCAAAACGCCATTGTTCTGAAATACTTTGTCATGAAGAACATTCGCTGCTCAAACAAAATCAAACTGAACTCATTTGGAATAAGACTTCGAATTGAAAACGACTTGGCTGCACTCAAAATGCCATCCACTTTCTCTTGCATAATTTCTATGTAATTTTCATGCCTTTTAAGTCCTTTAATAGTGTTGATAGAAAAGCATATGATTGGAAGATTCTCACATGGAATAATTTTATTCTGTTTGGCATCAAACGTTGAAGCAGGAACATTCTGAAGATGGACCTTACATATCTTGTTCCAATGACTCACTTCTATTGTTGGGACTGTATATGGAATTTTCCCACAAATAAGCTCGCCATTCTCAAAAAGGCGGACTAATACCTTTCCGGTGGTTGTCAACTTGGAATTAGAGACAAAATCAAAAGTAATGGCGAGTGTTGAATCTTCATCGAGTTGTGAATAGAATGTCTTAAAATGTGCGTTGTGTATGTTATTCTGTGCTGCCCAGTCTACAGTGACTGTTTCAGTATCAGTCTTACTAGTTACTAAACGAAGAGAAGAACGGAGTGTGAAGGAAATAGTCTGAATGGTATAGTCTTCATAAAACGAAATAGGTAGGTCGAATGCAATTGTAACAGGCACGTCTAAACTCCTCAACTCGTAATCGTCTTGAGAGCCATTTGGTGGGAAAAACGAAGTGATGAATGCATATTTACACCTTTCATTGTAATTTGTATTAATTTGTGGTGGTATACATTCCATTTTATATATTTTACGTAAGTCTGGGACTTTGAATTCTAAAAGTTTGTTGTTGTACCAATTGATATGTATACAGTTGGTGACAGTATTAATGTCAAAGTCTTTTTTGGAACACTCAAATATGGCGTTCTCGGGAATTAAAAAGGAAAAATCAGTGCGTTCAGTCAAGACCAGGCGAAGGCACTGAAACGCCATCCCATCATTTGAAAGCAAAAGTATACGGACGGGAATTGAAGTGTTTCCACCACTCAAATTTTGTTTGATTTTATAATTCACTTGTGTTGTGCCATACATCACCCACCTCGAATTCATTGTATTTGCAGTTTTTTTATTATTAAAAATCATTAGTTCAGTATTAATGAATCAATGAAGTGTATTGAATAGAATTATAGACGAATAGAATAGAAATTCAAATAATAGTTTTGAAAATTACAATAAAATCATTAGAATTGAATTATAAATAATTAAGAAAGAATGGTAAGAAAAAAATCTGTTCTTGGCCATTAATCATTTATTTATCTTTATTCATAAAGATTTATATGAAGTCTAAAATATGTGTCAAAGTCTGTTGTGAACAAAAGATAGTATCCTCACTTCGATAAACACAACACAATGGAAAGTATTGTTTTGAAAAAAAACAGAGGTACTTCAGTCGCTATCAAAAGCATTTGAACAAATAGTAAAAATAAAAGAAACAAAAGTAATAAATAACATATAAATACATGACTGAGCTGCTTAATAAAAGACAAGTGACATTTTATTCCTTTCAAGAGGAAGAACAGTCATATAATCACTCACTACTGCGTACTGATTTTTTGGCGCGGACTTGTTTAGGATTGAAAAGATCTCCTCATCAATCGAGTCATCTTCGAACTCCTCAAAAAGGTCCTTTGTATTTGATGTGATGAATGAGTGTCTCTTCTGCTTTTCAATCGCCTTTGGAAGTTCCTCATCGTAAATCACACTCTTTGCAACTCTCTTTGTTCTCAAGCTTGGTACTCGTAAGACCCTAGTTGACATTGTTGGAAGTGAGTTTAAAGTTACGCCTTTTATTGTAAGTTATGCAGTTTGGTTATTTCTTTCTGTTAATTTTGTTTTAACAGAACAAAACAACTTAATCACAGTTATTATTAAACATATCATTTTGTTCCCAAAATGCGGGTAAGCCTTCAAATCTGCCATGTTTTCTTGTAATAAAGAATTAAACTCATCGAAATTATTGCATTCCATAAAAAATCCAATAGAGTCAGTCTTTTAACGTTATCTGGTCTCAAACGTTATCTGGTGGACAAAAAATAGATTCATTTTTGTCTAAACATCGGGCATTAGGTAAAACGTGAAAAAACCCGAAACAATTGGGATGGGTTTTTGGGACTGCTTCCCGAATTATTCCCATTTTTATGATCCAAAAGGCACCAGATAACGTTTGAGACAAGATAACGTTAAAAGACTGACTCTATTGGATTTT